ATTAACACTGACCCATCAGGGTGAAGGGATTATAGGCGCGTCCTCGATTTTTGAACCACTCTTCCATACCACCGGTCACAAAATAATAGGTGAATGTCACTGGATGCGCGGCCCTCGACGCTGGAACTTTTCGCAATTAAAAAAGGAGCCTGATATCTCAAAAAGGTCAATTGTCAGGAGAATCCTTTTTCTAGCTACCGTAGACTAGAGTCCCTTTACACTGAGAGCCAAGACAATTCGGCTCATGGATGTCACAAACGGGAATGAAGATTACAGAAATTGAACGTTTTTCGTAATCTTTGATCGGCCCATTCTCAAATGCCTTTCTCCGTTCCTCCTCTCATTCCGTTTGTTCCTTGCCGAACCCGTAATTCTCTGGTCCATTCCAGATTATAATCTTTGCAATTGGTGAAAATGTAATCTTTATTCCCGTTTGTGACACTGTGGAGGCCTAAAATACGGGAACCAATCAGAAATGGATTCAAATTGTCTTGACTCTCAGTATAAAGGGACTCTACCGTAGACCATTAGACAGGATGCGAATCGAAGTTCTATGAAACATCGTCACCTTCCGGTCAAAGTATCACAAGCGCCATACGACGCTCAAAAATTTCAGCTGCCATCTTATTTTTTACGGAGAAATCGCTCAACGAAGCTATCCGACGGTTTCATTGACTTTCTTTGTGCTGTCGACAAAATTCAGTGAAAGTTTCAAACAGATTCAACTGACAATTTCTCCGTCAAAAATAGAATGGCGGCGGAAATTTTTAAACTTTGCATGGCGCTTTTGATATACTTTGGCCGGAAGGTGTTGAAATTCTGCCTCATTGTAAAAACAATATATACACACCACTAGTTTCCCTATACAAATAAGTGTTTCCACGTGAGGGCCAGAAAGTAAAGTTCATAATTGCAAAATGTAGTCCATGTGATCAACGCATCTCATGCAGGAAAAAAATTAGATCCTTCCGTAATTTTGGTTGAAATCGTTCACTGAAAGTTCGCCTTCAGATTTTCATGGTAAAGTAACGTCCGTAAATCCTGCCAACGGCTCTGCCGCAAAAGTTGATGCATGTATGTGAATCTCATGGGCGGGTAAGTTGAGACCTCGCTATCGAAAGTACCCACGTGCAAATCGTCGATGGAATAAGACAGACGGGATACGAGGGTAAGGCCCTCTTATTAATTCTCGCATCTCGGAGAGGGTGGCAATTGGCGGCCCAATCGATAAACGTTTACCTTCAAAAGATTTCGCTCTCGAATTCGCAATAAACACCGCGACCCGAAGAAAGGGTCGCTGAGCTCCGATCCCCTAAGTACCTAAAGCTCCATTCGATCGGCAAAAGAGCGTAACTCGATTCCCGCGCGGACTACGCAACTACAGGGTGATCCAAGGTGAAACCGCCAGACTGCAGCGGTGAGTTCTTTAGGTCAAAACAAGACCTTTTTCCTTTCAAAGTTGTTTCACCGAAAGTGCTTTCAAAGAAGGCTGCAGCCCCTCCCCCATAGTTCTGGCAAAAAAGTTGTCTTGCCTGCATTTACTCAACGTTAATGCGTCGAATCTGATGAAAATTGGTATATATGCATCTACACTGGAAAAAAAACCACATCGGATCTAGAGTCTAGACTCTTGAAAACATTGACAAGAAAAAGGACTCTTAATTCAATCAGATTTAAGCTTAAATCATTAATTTTACCGAGATTTCTCGGTAAGGTTACCAATTCCATAAATGGTGATTTTACCAAGAAAAAACTGGGATCAAATAGAACCCTGAATTCTTGGTAATTTTACCCTTCTGTCAGTAAATACACCGAGATTTTTTTTTTTAGTGCAACTGGTGGCAAAGTTTTTTGCGTCCAACTTTTCGTTCTTCGGATGAAGAGTTTGATAGTGTGAATCGAGCTTAAGGGTACTCTAGATCGTATTACCCAGAGGGCATTGCGCAAAAGCTAAAGATCCACCTTGACCTTGGATCACCCTGTATGCAGACAGCGAGGCTCATATCGATTGGCGCTTACGCTGTTTGGTTGGGAAGGGCGACGAAATGTCAATCCGACTGCCTCATCCAGTTCATTAAGAGGCGGAAACGCTGGAGCTGCGCGGCGATACGAGCGTACAACTTCCGGAAATCAACTTCCGCTCATCCTCCGACCCGACATTATGCTATAATAGAATTTTCTGCTCATGTTTACGCCTCTCCCACCGCCATCGAGCAGCGTGAAAAAAGAGAAAAAAAACCATAAGCCCCCGTTCACGACGCCATGGAGGAATGTTTCACTTCCGCTGTTGTCGACTTCCGTGTGAAAATTCACCGAGTTTGAGTTCGTTTTAGTGGAAAATTTACGTTGGTGCGCCTGGCTTGTCGGCAACCCTGATCTAATGTTGTTGATTTTCCCCCGAAAATCGACTAAAGGGTCATTCCACGCCTAGGTAGTCCGGGGGGTATTTTTTTTCCCCCTCCAAATGACCCAACGATATTTATTTTTGGACTCCTTAAAACTCTTAGTTTTTGGAAATATATGGGGTTTATCTCCGAAAAAAATCCGACACAGCGGGTCATTTCCAAGCGGACTAGCTTGGTTTCGACTCGATCGGAGAACTTTTCATTTGGACCCTAAAAATTTAGTCCATGGTATGTACCCCTGCCTGTGGATTTTTCTCGATTTCGGAGGGGGAAAAAAATGTCGAGATTAGTGTCGAATCCTACGTAGTTTGAGGCGTAGAATCGATTGCGCCCGGTCCCGAGACTCGCCGGAGCTCCCTAAGCCGAGAAACGGCGGCGAAAACGAGTGTTTCTGGTCCTGTTGCAAAAGTGCGTTTTTGTCGGTACCGCGGACTCGTGGAGCTTTTCCGACCAGAAAATCCGACTCAGCGGGTCATTTCGAAGCGGACTAGCTTGGTTTTGGCTCGATCGGAGAACTTTTCATTTTGACCCTAAAAATTTAGTCCATGGTACCCCTGTGGGTTGTCATATTACTCGATAATTCCTAAATTTTCTTTAATTTTTAAGGGCAAATCGACGGCGTAATTCCGCAACCATGTATCTCGTTGGCGGCGTTTGAAAATCTCCGCTCCTATTTTATTTTTTTAAAGGAGAACAAATCGAAATCATTCCTTGCAGTCAAATTTTCTTGGCACTGAGAAGAGAGATCACGCCAGTTTTTAAGAATTATCGTTGAGTAGTTATTCATTTAAAAGATAAAGAATGACAGGAAGTCTGCGACGTCGCAAACCGAGATATTATGTGGTTGCGGACTTGCACCGTCGAAATACTCAGTAATATCAGATAGGTCATAAATTGCGATCGCGTAGAAAACTCTTCGTAGTAGGTATGTATCGGATTGTTGTGTGTGTGGTCTATTCACTAATTGAAGGGGCTCTTCTCATTGGAAGAGCCTGTCAAAGCCTCATATCCGTGCCCTTTTTCAGGGAACTCGGCGAATTTGTTTGAGTGTGTCCTAAACGAAACCTTACTCTGAAAAAAGTCTTCACGGACAGTTTTAGCTTGAGTTCAAAGCTACTTTTAGCAATACAAAATTTAAACTTTTTGCCTTTGAAAAATGATAATATTTTGAAGTTCATCAGTTGAAAAAACAACCTAAGTTGGTCCCTTTTTATTTTCTGAGGCACAATAACTGAGGCAACTGATGCTGATGATACTGTGCCTTACAAAATAAAAAGCCAGAGAACTACGAAATATCAACATTTTTCAATTGTAAAAAATATAAACTTTGCAACGCTGTATTACAAAAACGAGCTTTGAACCTAGACTGGACTGAGTTAAGCAGAAAGGAACCAACCCACATATTGGAAAAAATTGAGTTATGAGTGGTTTTGAACTCAACCACTGCTCTACTATCTATAGCCAAAAATTCAAAGATTTTGTTGGAGCAAATTTTGCAGAAATTGAAATTGAAGTTTATCTTTTACATTGAGTCTTATGCAGGGGCCAAACTTTAAACCTCTTTTTCTCGGTTCGATTCCGATGTGGCTTGGTTCCTTTCTGTTTAACTCCGTCCAACTAAAACTTTCACTGATGGAGAATTGTCTCATCAAAAGAAGGATCCTGGGTTCTCCAGAAAGAAGCACAAAAAGCAGCCCCTTCCCTTGACAGGCTCTTTTTTTTAAGTGCATGATGTTTGGTATTCTTCAACTTACTTATCACCTCATAAAATCCTGATTTTCTTTAATTTTTAAAAGCAAATCCCTGATGCAAATCCTCTCAGATGGCACAAATGCAATAAATTGCGATTTCTTACATGGTAAAACTCTTCCTATTCTATCATAGTGTTGTGTATGTTGTCTGTTCTTTATTGGTTGAAGATGCTCCTTTTATTTTGTTATAATAAAATTGTAATAAGTCGCAATTTATTTATTTATTTACTTATTGTTTTGCTACCAATTGCCTACCTTTCTCACATATGGTACATTCATACATACATATATTGCGGACTGAAAGATTCAACCAATTTTATTGCATTTTTCAAAATTATTTCAGTATTTTCATTGATATCCATTAATTTTTCCCTGATTCTCCGGGAGAAAAACTAGATTTTTCTCTGGGCTTGAAAACAAATTTGAGACAGAGACGAGTTGATTGTTGAGATGTTAAGGGATAACGACAAGGGTGGCAAAATGGCTATTTGAGAAAACTATAATTAGAGTTTTAAAGAGATATTACCCTAGGGTTAAATTCCCCACCAAAAATCCTACATCTTCTTAAAAATTGAAATTTTGTGCCGTAACACTTGGATACATACATGTCCAATGGAAAAAAAAAGACATTGAGAAAAACAGCGCTGCCACTTTTACACTGATTCTCTACCTAGCTCCTCATTTTAACAGCAAGTTTCATCAGCACTTCTAGCTTATTCCCTGATGTACTGGCAGAAAATTTTGACCACTACTTATTCTATCATTTAGATTCAGAGATGATGGATGGCGACTTTCCAAGGAGCAAAACTGGAAAGAAGTCATGAGAAGAGACATTTAGCACCGATTGAAAATTTCATAAAAACAATTTATTTTCAATAAGATGTCTTGAATTTTCAACAGAGGCTAAAAAAAAAAAAAACTTGCAGTACCTTGTACTGCCAATCTGTAAGCCAATGCTTTGCATTCTTGGTCAAAATATTGAAACTTAACAGAGTAACAAAAATTTCTAATCGATCGCACCGGTCACGTAAAATTAAAAACAGATTCTTTAAAAATCAACATATTAAAACAGAGAGCATCATGGATTATTAGAGTGGGAGATAACCACTTTTGGTACGTAAGGAGTTTCGAGCCCTGCAGAAGATGGATTTATTGATGTCGCTTTTGGTGCGTAAATTTGCGGTTTGGCCAAGACGCGCTGCCCAGCTATGTCGATTTCATACCGCGCGGAGGTTGACATGATGAACTGGTTGGTGACGATTTGATCGTTGTGATGCCCATCCAACCGCTCGTGACGTCGACTTTGTCCTGGACGTCTTATGTATCCCATGCAAACTAGTTTTCCGAGGGTGAATCCAAACCTTTTCATCAAATACATACAAAGACTTAGTGAGATGGCAACTTAATGAAAAAATGTTGCTGATGTGTCATTCACTATTAAGAGAGCTACGAGGCTCCTTCTAAGCATAAACATTAAGATTTCTTTTAAGTACAAAAATATTAAGAGCTAGTGAGGCCGAGACAATCCTTTTGATAGTCATCGGGATTAAAAATTTTAAAAAATTTGAACTATAATTTATTTCATCAAATTACTTATCAGAATTAATAAAGTTAATTTTAAAATAAAGATCTATTTTCCTATATTAACCAGGTTGATAACCACTAACTTCTTTACTGAATTTTATTTTAGTTTAAAATTGAGAACTATGTTAAACATATGAAAAAATATAATTAAATAAAAAAAAGATTAATATTTAAAATTTAGAATTCAGAGTAATCTACAATAAGAATTTATGTTACCAGCTAACTAAGTGCCAGCAGTTGTGGTTAAACTTAAGGTTAGGGGACTTTAACTTAAGGGGGGATTCTAACTTCTCGTCATGCGCACAATATTTCCCCCTAGAAAGTATTTTTTCACAGTTTTCTAGGATTTATAATTTCAGAAGCCCTCCCATGAAAAATTTAATCAAGGACCAACAATAAAACATATATTTTTTCACGACTGCACGGAAAGTTTCATTGTCATGTAAAAAAACTTTTTCTTATCAATTTTTCTGTAAAATTGTATATTTTTAACGAGCAATGTAACAACGATTATAGCCCCATCAGTACTGATGTGATACTACAAGGAGAAGCAGAGGAATGACTAGATCAAGAAAACAACCAGATTATCCGTAGGATTGCAAACACGCCCGGGCATGCTAAAGTAACAAGATAGTAACAAGTAGTAATTACATTTCAGTTTTGATTTATAACCTAACGATGAGTTAGTAAAGCTCCAGACAGCCATAGTTAATCAAGAAAATATACAATTTGACAGGAAAATTGGTTAGAAAAAGTTATTTTACATAACGGTGAAATGAGTGCCAATAAAATTCACTAAAACAACTCAATGCATTGAGAGTATTTGCTGATTGAAATACAATTTTGAGTAAAAAAAAAAAAACATATACAGTGCAAAACCAACTCTTGTTCATAGGAGATGTAGAAAACGTTTCAATTATTTTAAAATGTTTTATAGAAATGAATAAAATATGAGAAAGAAAATAGAACAGGTACGCAAGTGAAACATGCAACATGAAAAAGGATGGTAGGATGAGGAGAAGATTCTTACCCTGCTGATGTTACGATACCCACGAATTCCGAGTCTCGATAAATTGGCTCACTGCCCCAGGCCCACACATCTTTATCTGGATCGATACCTTCTAACTGGAAAAGGACGAGTCTCTTCTTCACTCCTTGCTCTTTTTGCTTTTGCAAAGCAAATTTTCCCATGAAATAATCATTCTGTCGTAAAAAAAGATGATTGAATTAGGTCATGCAAAAATAGCTGAAGTCAATTTTTCCGATAAAGGTAAAAAAAAAAAAAAAACTAGAACTAGAACTAAAATCATATGTTTCTGATGACTTCTCCAGAGGAAAGGTATTGATAAGGGCTATTTTTGAGCCCATCCTAGCTAAATTTTCTCGACTCTATGACGTTTTGCTCATTGAAGGTCTATATTTTACAAAATGCATAATGATTTGGTCATTTACTGTCTCTGACGAGTCTTATTAGTGGTGGGCCAGTTTTCCAAAAAAATGAATAATGTACGAAAGGAAGTCTGCATTGCTACAAACATAGATATGTGGTTATGTACTTTGACCGACGATATATGTGATGTTTTTCATTCGATAAAAAATAAAATAAAATGTATACAAATATAACTGTACAAAGGAGACTTTTGTTTCGTCTCTTCCTTTTAAAGTAGGGGCAAGGGGGAATTGAAAAGTAGAGCCAATCACTGTAATAAACTTTTACTAATTGCTTCTCTGTCTTCAATATGAAAAAAATCATGATGATAATTTGTGCTATACTTACATCTAGCTTCACTCGATATCCACTCCCACATTCAAAGGGAGTTGTAAAACTGTTTAAATCTTCACCCCAAAGTGGAATGAACTTTTCTATCCGCATCCATCGCTGAGTGATTGTGCCAACATCCCGTAGACCATAATCTACACCCACCTGAAATAAAAGTAACACTTTGAGGTAAACTCAACACAGTGAGAAAAATAAATACCTAAAATTGAATCATGAGGACCGTGGTGTCATAAAAACATAAATACAGGTTACAAACCCTGCAGATCAATGACCGGAAGTTTTCTGAAAAGTTTGGGGCTCTGATCGCTAAAATATTTGCCCAAAAATGTCAATATTTAGCACTGACTTATAAAAAAATACATGCCATGACAATCTGTGGACAAAATGGTTTAATTAAAGCTTACTGAATAATTTTACAAGCAAACTTTTCCAGAAATAATGGAGGAACAAAAGAAAAAATTGGGGCATTTCTAAGTTCGCAGAATTAAATATCTCAAGACTTTTTAAAGAGTGTCCTCAAACACTAAACTGAGGGTACCCCAGTGTAATCTAGTGAAACTCTGTCCAAGGAAAGAACATGTTTGAGGGCCCAATTTAATGTAGTTCCTTCATGGATAATTACACTGATAGTTGTAATAGATACTCACAGCCGCAAGCTGCTGATAAACATGTAGCGCGTATTCAGAGGGAATGTATAAACAAAATCCAGGCTCTCCTGTGTGAGTAAAAGACATCATCATAACATCTGAGGCATAGCCAACGTTCACTTTCTGGAACGAAGAAGAAAATTCGTGTTAATTTTGCATCAGCATAAGGGAATATGGTTAAAATTCTGGTAAAATGTTGGTGTTCTATTTTTTTTCTTTCTTTTATTTGCATAGTACTTTCTGCTTAGTAATTTCAATGTTACTTACTTATGTTCATTTCTTTTTTCTTTTTTTCTATACACTCAGGTAGAGTATCTGTTCTGTGATTCATTATTTAATTTATTATGAGCGGTTCTATGTTGTTACTTAGTTTCTAATGGGATCCAGACCCATGTTTTGGTTGTGTACTTTTTTGCATTCATAAAATATGTTTTGAGGGCCTTAGTGACCCTGTATATCTTTTTGTAAGTATGTATATTCAATAGACTTTGGGCCACGTTTCTTAGTGTTTTTTTTCTTGTTCAATAGATAAATAAATAAAATATATTACAAAATCTTGATTATTTTGAAGCTCGAATCACTTATGCACATCTTTTGAGAATAAATCTCTTTTCAATTGAATGGTCCTTGATCTTTGATCCAAATTATGTCCTTTGAACTGGGTTGGATCAGTACCAAATCAAAGGTCTGGAAATGATCAAATTTGTTTACAATTGAAGGGCTTAAACTTTGATGGGAAATGTAACATGGTAAAATTCTTGAAAATTGAACCACTTAAGACTAGGTTGATGACCAAATTCTAAGTTGACTACCATGATTTTGGGCACACATTGACAAAATTACCAACACTCTAAACTTAAAACTAAAATTTGCCCATTCTCAATATCAATGGTGTAAATTGAGAGGCTTCTTACTTACCTTATAAGTAAATGGTTGTAAATCGATGTCAACATTGGAAAGTTCTGAAAGAAGCTGGCGAGCTTTTGGACCAACGACATTAATGACGGTGTACATAGAGGTGACATCATTTAGACTCACAGAGTGATCAGTTGGAAGATGTCTTCTGAGCCACTCAAAGACACGAGTTTGTTGACTTGTTGGAGACACCATAAAGAAGCTTTAAAAGAGGAGAATAAAAGTAAAAGTGAATAAAGGAGAAATATGTATTTCATTGATTAGTGAATGATAGCACTATGTACCACTGCATAACAGCTTCCTTGATTTTAGTAGAGCGCCAGTGCTTAAAAATAAATTGCCAAGCGAATATAATAATATATAATACATCATTTGGGCGTATTTTTGCTAAAAAAAAAAATGTAATTGCAAATAAATTAAATAAAAAAAAGGAATTAGATAGCACACAAATCCTACGCACATGATTCCTGTTAATTTTATTCAATTGCATATTGTTCTACTTAGCATAGTCAAGTCCAATTTTTACATTATTATTAAGAATATAATGATAGGAAAACTGGTGAGAACGAGGGAAAATTATATATTCTATGAATGTACGGCAATATAAAAACAAAAAAATTGATAAGTGCATTAATTTTGCTGTAACGCCTGTCCCACACACAAACTGAGGTTTTCAAATGACAATAACTATTTAATTTCTCAGCCATTTCTGCACGAAGTTCCTTAAAAATCTCAAGATCTGATCTATGATATGTCCCGAACAGATCTGTTACCTTCAAAGATTGTCAGACCGATGATCTATAAAATGTAACAGTCAAAAATTCCATCGGTGAGCCTCTTTGAAGCCTTTACTTTCTGTGAGAGGGAAACATTCCCAAAAAGCTCTACAAAATAATATTTCAGTTTACTTCAAACACAAACCTATTTTCTGCTTCTCGAACAAGAATACAATCATTCTCGTAACCACCTCTTTCATTTTGCATACCGGTGTGCACAATACCTCCAACTGGAATATTCACATCATTAGAACACAGCCTTTGCAACCAGTCTACAACATTCCTCGGAGTTTGAGCCTAGGAAAAAATAAAAGCAATTAGTATTCGAGAACAAAAAGGAGGAAAAAACCTCAATTAAAAAGTAAAATACAAGCTCTTTTACACACATGTAAGGCAGTCATGACAAATCAAAGGATAAGGTACATTGTTCGCAACAAGAACAGATTGACTGAATACATCCAAAGGTGTTGTCGAATAAGAAACAGAAACACTTGGAATCAATTTTTACAGGATGAAAGTGGTACAGCCGCCGCTTCCTTATTTCCTGACTCCAATGAGATCTAGCTCTTGGTGCTTCAACCCCTCCCCCTCCCTTTTGTAAACATTTCAATTTTTGAAAAAGCGACAGTGATAAGAAAAAACATGCTTTCAAAATGAAAAAAAAAAAAAAACTTTTCTTCAACATTTGTGAGGCTGCTCAAATTCAACTTGAAGCACACAGCAGTTCTTAGCAATCCTGGTTGAGCATAATCATGCAGGAGAAGTTAATCTCTTTAAAATTTCCATTATTTGAGAGGATTTTTGGTACCTACATAGTGAAGAGTATCATTTCTACGCTTCTACAAATTCATTTTTATACATTTCTAGAACTTATATGATGCAAAAAATCAGTCCAAGTTGCAGAGAGAGACTAAATCCTAGGCTTAGAAACAATGTTTAGCAAAATCGTTAACATACAATTAGTTATTGGCTAACACTGTACATAAAAATCAATTTTTGACCTTGAAAATTTTTCAGGTTATCATACATACACTCAATTTTTTTCCAGCAAGATTGACTTATCATGGCACTAATTATTGGCATCTATTCTTAAGAACTAAGTAGCATACATGCAACGAATGAAAGCGTTACAAGTATATAATCTATAATTTTTGGGTGTATCAATCGAGGATTAGTACACAGCTAAAAAAATAAATCAAAAAATTATCAACAAAAATGAAGCAAATAGAATACAAGATTTATAAAATTATAAGAGAGAAAGGCGAAACCAGAATGACCGAGGTAATGGTGAGTTTTATGACCGGTCTAACGATCACTAAACCATGGCAAAGTTTAGACTAGAAATTGGGAAAAGAGGAAGCTGGTTGATTTTATGGATCATGCTGTCTCCAAAAATACAAATACGAATGTACATGAAGGATAGGACCTGCATAAGGTGGAGTACCTGTATATGCGAGCCCGGAATATAGCCAGACTGAAAAAACAAACTTAGGTCATGATTTTGTATAGGCGCATTCACTTTGAAAACGAAGATATACAAAGAAGAGGTAGGAAATTCAGTTTTTGGAACTTTGTACAAATGACTACAAATGTTAAGTTGACGAGTAAAAATGTTTAAACTGCCTTTCTAGGACTTTATTTTTTTTCTTTCTTTCTTTTTTCTCTTTTCCACAGATTAGACTTTTAGGAATGAATCTACGATGGATATCAATGAGGAATCTGAATTAATTATGAAAATACTCAGGTGATACAAAACTAAAATTAGAAGGAGGCGAACGATTTTTTCTTAATTCAATCTGGAAGAAGTTCTGCTGATAAATCTTCAGGATGATTTGTACTTATTACATTTTTTCAAAAACGCACAGCAGCAAAGATGATTCAACTACAATAAATTCCCTGTTTCACTAAAGTTTTTGGGAATACCTTTGGGTATTTTAAGTTACTTTCTACTGTTTAGAGCTATTTGTACAACTGAGAATGCATATTTATGTACAATGAAAACATTCTGCATTCATATTGAGAAACAGATACAAGGGTAAAAACTTTAAGATATAAACGGAAAGAGAAGCACGCAAGGATAGTAATAATGAGGGCATTTAAGTTTGGGTCAGCCTTTAAGAAATCTACTGGTTAGTTCGAATTCAGACGTTATTGGGACAAGATCTGAAGCTCAAAAAATCTGAGTAAAAATCAGTCAAAGCAAACAGAAGCTTATCTGTTGGCATACAGTTGACATGAGACTTACTAAATTTTCCCATGGTAGGTCCCCGGAGTCAATTGGGGGCTTTTGCATCTAAAAAACAAAATTATTTGGTAATCCTGGACTGTTTAGGCAGAAAGATTATAGAACTCATTCAAATAAGAGTTGATAATAGAGTGGTCGGAAGGGGAATGAGGGATGCTTTATATTGGTAAGAGTTCCTTTCATATGAAAAAATGAAACTAGAGGGAGGAAAACAAAAATTAGATTAACATGAAATGTGAAAACCAAATGGTACCTAGTTAGAAAATTGTTATAAATTAATCCAATCAGATATTGAATGTTACATAAGATGTAAGGTGATATTACTGAACTTGCAAGGCTATGACGTTGGTAATGTTTTTTATGGTGATTCGTCACCGTTTCTGGCATGGTCGAACTGGCTTACCATATAGTGCATTGGTTAAGTAAAATATTTCAGCAGATTTTTAGCCAAACAAAGGACGATAGCCCCTTTGCATGTGCCTAAGAAATCATTCTAAACAAAAATTGGCAAAATTCAGGGAAATGAAAACAGGATCCTCGCATTTAAACAGCTATCAATTTCTGTATTGAATGCGTCATTAATATCCAAATCAGATCAAACAGTACCGCTTCTTTAACCAAACAAAAAACCACCCTCCTTTTCTCCTTTCTTGGTAGTAACAAATATTCTGTGCTGAGCCCAAAATATGAATCCTTGACCAGTGCATAATTCAATACTTTATGAGCTTAACCATGGCTGTCCTAATTTACTACTATGACAGAAGGGATGTAAACCTTGTGCTTGAAGGTCCTATCATGAGTTGCTGTAAGGTGTCTTTAGAGATTGTATAGTTCCTCCTCCGGTAAGTTTTCAGAGTGTCCATCATTTCCTAAAATCTTGATAGTGAGTGGTCACCATGACAGCAAAATATCTTGCCTCTTTACTTCGTTTTAATCTCTTTTTCCTAGCCAATTTCGGTAAATTTTCTATCTGATTAAAGTGGTTCATTTTTGTGATATTGTCTGTTACATAATGAGTAAAAATTTTGTAAAGACCCGTATGGTCTGAAAATATGATGTAATATAATTATACTCTAACTGCAAATATAAGAAAAAGTGACTAGTCTTCGCAAGTGTCTTTACAGATCCAGAACATTGCTCATTACAGGGAATTTAATGCCTCATATAATCCTCATTTGACACAACTTGAGCCTTCGAACAGTAATCATTACTGGTATTGGGTACACTTAGTAGACGATAACAAGGTGAACAATGGATAACGGTCTTCACGTTAGATTTTAAAGAGAATTTAAAAGTTAATACTAACTACTATGAAACTCAAATTTTAAAGATTTTTTTCTCTTTTAAAAGAAAGCAAAACAAAAATAAAACACTTCAAAATTTTTCGATAGGAGCAAAGAAGAGTGGTTCACATTCAATGGGCACAGAGGGAAAAGAAACATAATAGAAAACTTCCATTGATTTACCTTGATTTTAATCTTGGAAAAAGATGACATATCGATCACACCCACACCTTCACGACAGGCATAATACTCTTCCAGAAGATAATCGAAGAACTTTGGCTTGAAGAAAGTGCCTGGCGGCATTGTGGGTAAAGGCTGGCCAGCTGAAGAAAAGAAACACATAACTTAGTATTTTGCGATGGGATTGCTCATTTTTTATTGAAAAAAATAAAGAAGAAAAAAATGACACCAAACAGATAGATTATAAGGGGCTGGATCTTCTGAAAGGAAAATTCAACAAGTACAAGGCCAACAAGTAGAATAAGTATTTCAAAGAAAAGTATCTCCTTTTATGTTGAGGAAAATTTTCAGTGGCATTATTATGATTATTTCCAGAATCAATCGATCCAAAATCTAGGATCTCAGTATGAAGCAAAATTATCTTGCAAACAAAAACTTTTCTGGGCATGCATTTTACGTAGGATGAAAAGAAACAAATTACCAGGCAATTGAAAAACGAAAAAATTAGCTATCTCATCAATTTCTGTTGTATTAAAACAGCATTTGCATTCTGATGAAAAGGTGAACAGAACATGCAGTAGTCTTCACAAATTCACGATTAAGATGCACTTTTGAAAGGCCAGGTATTCTTTACAAGTATGATATTCGAATGTTGCATTAAGATACATGTTTTTTCAACTTCAGCTATTGATATGCTACCGGTTAAAAGATACTGCTCATTCTGTGAGAAATATATATTGAAATCATAACTCTCTTTTCAATTCACTCAGTAATTTTTAAAACTGATTGAGACTTATGAAATGAATTTTTCTCATCAGAGGGAATCGGTACCGAGAGAGAGCAAATATGTTGGATTAGGAGTTTTTCTGCTTGTAACAAACACCCAGGGACTCACAAGCAAACAGAACTACTGAGACAACGAGACATGATGCCTCAAGATACCCTCAGAATACAGGAGCTATAATACCTTAGGATAACATTGACTCATCCATTAATGGTGAATAATATACTGGAATGCCAAAATGGCTGGCAATTCTATCAAATAAGGAAAAAACTACGATAAACATCAAGCTACATGCCAATAATGAAATCAATATGATTTAATTACATGATTGTACGATGATGTTACAAACAAGCAATTGAACAAAAATAAAGGATAACAGTTAGAAGCTCTTGCCATTTTTTGTGTGAATTTCTGTCTGTCATCCTCTCTATGCATCCCTCAATTGCTTCTTGTAACATCATTGTGACATCACGTAATTGAATTATATTGATTTTATTATTGGCTTGTAGCTCGATGTTTATGATAATTTTCCCTTGATAGTGAATAGTTTGTCGCCCTTCTGACATATAGACGTAACTATACTTTGCGATGAACTCTGTCGTCCATAAAACACAATGTTTTTCCAGCTCATCTCTAAGTATAGTTACGCCTTTTTGTCAGCCAAACAACGAATTGGGTGATTTTAAGCAGTATCAGCCAAATTGAATCACAGGTTGCCCGATTTTTTTGCCAGAGAACTGTATGAAATTTTCCTTTCAACTTCATGAATACATATATTCTTTGAGACAAAAGAAAAATTCACAGAAAATTTCAAGGCATAATTGTTTCATGTTTCCTGTTCAAAATTAAAACATAGAAGAAAATTAGGGAAGGTGAAACATGGTTAGACTGAATCACATTACAGTCATCTACACATTTTGTCCAACACTTTGGGGAATCATGCTTCAAAATCAACAAGGAAAAATCATAGTTACGTTGGTAGGAAGAATCAAAATACAGAGGTCGCTCATATCCCATACGCATTCCAAACACAGCTCCTCTCTTCTCTAGAACACTGTATAGAGGTGAGCAACGAAGTTTTCGAGCGAGCTGAAATTCCGATTGACTGGGGTACATGATAGAGTAGTGTCTGCAATTGGAAGAGATGCCAATACTTACACACGAAATTTAACCAAAATCACAAATAAAGGTTTATTCAGTACGCTCACCCATGCACATGCCTTTTTTCTCATGATACCAACAAAACCCAAAATTATAGTGAATTTTGATTTTTCAAACTTCTTTTACGCAACCAGATAGGTTGTGATCTGTCTTAAAGTGTTGCAGGCTAAACCGACACATCCAAAGTCAAGATATGAAGTCAGAGACCCCTCAACAAAATCAATGTAAACAACAAAATATTGAAAACAGAATTCTCTTCATACCCCTTGGATTGAACACACACAATTTATGGTGCGGAAAATTTAAAATAAACCCAACATCCATAGAAAAAATTGTTAACTTTCTTGAGGTATCGTTATCAGGAGGTGCTACTGTAATAATAAAAAAATAAAACAAGTCATAAAAAAAGAATGGATACATAAAAGAAGAATATAGACTCTGACCACTGCAACACCAGAAGTGCTTATGCATAATGAATGTTTTCACCAAGGCAAAAAAATTACTTCTCTTTTTTTAATCTTGTGTGGCAATTTACTATTCTTTCATGCTATGAATAGTGAAGAGTAAAACATTGAGTATAAAATGAAAGACAGAGAGCCCATTAAAAAGAGAAACGTGAAAAAAAATAAATCTTAATTTAATGTAGAGAGGGTCTAATTTCAGCCTTAGAGTATAGTCGTTGATAACTCCACCTAGAGGCGAGTTGTTTTTCTCTAGCTGGTCCCAAGCCCAGGAAAAGGAGGAGGGAGGAGGGTTGTGTGTAGGTTTAGCAACCCTATTACGTAAAAACACCCTAGCTACGAAGACCAAGACGAAGCCTCGATACCTAGGGAGATGTGTCGTCTTAGAGGCCAAAGCCCTCCCCGGGCTGTAGCACCATTAGTAAGTATAGTCACTGATGATAACCGGGCGGTGAGTGGCCGAAAAGCGTCCCGATACAAAGTTTCGTTTAATATGGGATGAATATTTTTTATAGAATTTTAACTGCTTGACAAATATGTGTTTCTTCTATCTTTTTGTATATTTTACAGGAATATAATTCTAATCAAATAAAGTTTACATGAGACAACCAACGATCCTGATTTTTCATTAAACTATCCACAGTCCTGACATTTTGATAAGGTCAGCAAGCAAATTGAAGGTTTACGCATTCAGTATTCTTTAGAAATTATTCAACAACTTTTTCATTCCATTTTCCAAACTGATCGACTGTCACATTTGTTTTGATAATCCAGGGTACATTGTAAATACATAGAAGAGCTACCAAGTATAATCAATCTTTCTCCCTTCATTGAAATCTTGATTGGGAAAATTCAAAGATGCATGAAAACAACAGTACCTTCCAACAACCTCTTGAATCCTCTGTTGAAGATAATTCCTATTGTTATGAAGATCAAGAAACCTCTGCACATCAAATTTCAGCAATTCTTGAGTTGGCTCTCCTTCTACAATCCATTCAGCTAACGCTTTTCCAATTCCTCCGGCTCCTTGCAGAGAGTTTCCGTTCATTCCAACAGCAACAAAATAGTTATCTACCTGAAAAATATTTTTGAAAAATCCGTGAATGAATGAAAAAGGAACATTTTTTTCCTTTCTTTAAAATAAATTTCATTTCTTTTAAATAATTGAATAGAATAGATACTTGTTAATGTAGTTTGACTTGCTTATTAAAGATGCCAAGACATGGATGAGATACATGAAATTTTCAACAAAATTGAGATATTCGTCATCTAAGAAAAAACTATCAACTTGGTGGCTACCGCCATGTAGAATTCCAAAACTAGGAGTAAATTTTTTTTTTTTTTTTTTTTTAAACTTAAAACTCGTTATTCTTAAAATTATAAAAATATAAATCATATTATTCACTCGCCAGTGGTCATAATTGCTGAGCCCACAGTTTGATACAAATGAAGGAAAACGATAGTAACCTTCTTCCTTTTTCAAGGGATGTAAAGAATGAGGGCTTTTAAGATCCAAAATTGCGGGTTACAAAACACACATATTAGGAGAAGTATGTAGTTTGAATTTTGATGAACTCAAATTTACCCTGAGAAAAGAATGACATGTACAAATGACCTGGATTACCTTTTATACTTTCAAAATCATGATGGAAAGCTTGATAGGCATGGCAATTGGCTATGCGGCAGATATTGAAAAAAAAGGAAAGAGGACACAAAAGTACTTACCTCCGGTGTTTCTCCTAAAATCCATTTTCCATTTGGCGTAAAAGTATCCGGATAGTTCATTAAACTTGGTTCTGGAACGTCTTTTAATATTGGCAGTCTTTGGATTGCATTTTGCCACAGAGGTTCTAGAAATGTTTGACAAGAACAAATTATAAAATGTCATGTATTTATTCCTCTGTATTCATATTAGGTGATCTTTTCAGTCTAAATAAACTTTTAAAGGATAAAAGGAAAATTACTGATTTCCTATTTCCTTAGAATTCCTGGCTCCAATCTTCCATGAGGTACTGAAGTCCTTTTGAATGCTCTGCCTTTAACTTTTACCTTTTAATCAAACTTTTTTTAATTTTCCCGATGCTTCAAAACAAGCAAAACTTATACTTGAAGATACAAGTCATCACTCCTTTGACATAAAGGCATAATTATTTTTCCACATGCACCCCAGAGAACATAGCGTTATGCGGAGCACAGGGCTTAGGAGGAAATGGAGATACGTTATTACAAGAAAGGAGCAATGATGTGTACACATGTGAGGTGTAACATGGATGTCATGACTGGATGAATGGATGGTATGAAATTACCAAGGATTAAAACTCCTATGAAAAGAGTGATGTGATGAGTTTATTTAGGCAATACTTACTGAAGTGATCCCAGTCAGCAGGCAGCTGTTTCTTCCAATCACCGGGAACTCCTTTATGACCCAAAAATGCAGGCTTTGCTTGTGGCTCGAAACCTCCGACTAGGAATCCACCATTGTATTCTCGCATGTAAATGTGAGAGTCAAAGTCTCGAATGTAAGGTAAGTTGTCCGAGATACCAGAGATTGGAGTGGTTTTTGCGTAGTAATGTTCAGCAGGATAGACGGGAATCCTGACCTTTGGCTCGGATTTCAGTCCTAGTTCTCGTGCCCACTTTAACAGAGATTAAGAATCATTTCAAAATACGCATCACTTCTCTCAGTACTGGCTTGAATGGTTTTATTAGGATTATTGATTGATTCAAATTGTATGCTATAAACCACAAGGTAAAACTTTAATACTGCTGGATTAGGCAAAAAATTTAAAAAAAAGTCGGGTCATCGAGTCTCTAAAAAAGAAGCAATTTCTTCAGAAAATTTGTTTTTACTTGCATGTAAAATAGTCTTTGAAAAGTACCATGTTACATGACCGCTAATGGACCACTACACATGGTACAAAATCATGCACAAGTTGTCTTCGTTTTTCATGCAGAACATTTTGAACGTATCAAAAACTTCCAAGAAACCTTATAAAAGAGAAATAAACATTTGTAGTTTGCAAAGTAAGGAATTTCAAACTTCCTGCGCATGGAAAACTATAAGCAAAGTAGGTTAGGTTAGGCATTAAAATCAGTTAATATACATTTCGCAAATTGTAAGAGCTTGGTTTTATGCTCATTTTCTATGTGTGGTGGTTCATTCAGCTGTTACTTGGTGGTGAAACATTGGTTACACATGATAACACATGGTTTAAACTTGTTTTACTGAAAGGATTACTGAGAGGATCATGCAATTCAGAGAAGAAAACCTTGCATCAGATTTTCAGTTTAATGAAATAATCTTGTTATGTAATTCAGATTCTTAAACAGGATTTTGTTCAATTTGCTGCCTGTGTTCATTACTGATAATTTCTAGACCCAAAACAGAGGAGAGAGATAACCTGCAACCACTTCAGAAATACATATAGCAGCATTATCTGATAAAAGATGCAATAATGTCAACGACTTGAATTGAGAGGATTCGCAACATGCAATCTCGACTAAAAATCGGAATTAAGTGGCTAACCAATAGACTTTTTTCCTTGGGAAAAACTACTTACTGTAAAATTATAATTATTTGAGGATGCATTTGCTACTTACATCGATTAATTCTACTTGTTTTACAGGTTAAATTATTTGAGTCGTGCTTAATGACTGATAAATAGTTCATAAAAATTTTTGAACTCAAGTTTTGGGAATTAGAAGAAGTTTATAGAGTGCAAGGGAAAAATTTTAAGAGCAGTCAGCGAGCTTTTTAGAAATGCCCGGTAAAAGATTAATTTTTACCATTCCAGCACAATTAACGAAGTATTCACAGTCTACATCTCCTCTGTTGGTGGTGACACTCTTGATACAGTTGTTCTCAGTAGATATTTTTTCAACAATGCAATTCTCAACATATGATGCGCCTGAAAGTAACAAGAGAAATTCACATATTACAAAAAGAGTATCAAATTTATGAGTATTTAAATTCTAATAATGAGAGGGTGTTTTATTTTAACCCGATTGCATGATTTACATGTTATAATATAAAAAATAATGAAAAAGTATAATTTAAAAATTGGATCTTGTTGTATCCACCGGTTCTCTTGCTCATATTTTAAAGTAATCTAATCACCTGACCAGCTGGGGAAACTTTGTTTCCTTCAGTCAAATTTTGCGAATGGATGTGATTAACTTTTTTAACAAAATAAGAATTTTGATTCGATCTTTAGGAGTCTCCTGGTCATTAATTCTTCCTAATACTCTAAAATCAACTTCTGCACCTTTTTATTTATTTATAAAAACAAACTTTATTTAAGAAGATTGTCACTATTACGACAACTTGTATACCTTGTATCAGTTGTATCTATCTAGATGAATTAAATTAAATTGAATTTACAAAGGTATTGAGAAAACTACAGATAATACAGATTATCTAAAAGAACAGAGATAATGGAATTCTCTGTCCTTCATTTTGAGAAATTAGGTGTGCCTATGAGATTACTAGTTTAATGACATTGCTTTGCACTTCATTCATACTCAACACCTTAAAATGGAAGAGAAAGGATGTTAAAGCAATGAGGAAAACCATAAAGAGGAAGAAAAAGAAAATTCTGGGTGGAAATTTGATGACATTAAAGTTTTTGTAATACATCCAAACACAGATTTCAAGAAAATACTGATGGTGATACTCAAAACAAAGGAATCCCAATTGAGGTATTTCAAAATTTCCACTGCTATTTTATGTCATTACAGAAACATACGATATTATAGCTTGGAATCGAAACAGTGTATCCTTCATTTACAGAAAAAAACAAAATCAGTGAAATTTTCAGAGAATGATAACGCTCACTCTCCCACAAAAAAGTAAAGTTTGATGGGAGATTTTTAACAGCAAAAGTAAAGATGTAAGTTTTTCAAGCTTCACCTCCAATACCACTAAATTTCGACACCTTTCTTGAAAATGATGAGGTAGGATGCTAACTTTACCTCCTTGTTTAGCAAGTTTTGCAAGAACACGGCAGACAGACAGGGTATCAACAACAGCATCCTCTGGCACCCAGACGCCTCCCAATATATTATCCGTACATATATGAGGATGAAGTTTCTGTAGCTCATTAGGTCCAATAATCTAAGGAAATGTAAGTCAAATGATTAAAAAAGGAACAAAATTGTAAGTGCTAAAAGTTAAAATAAAAAAAAAAAAAAAAAAAAAAAAAAAAAAAAAAAAAATTCTGTAAAAAACCACCACACCAATGTAATTCCGAGAAAAGAATTGAATTAATAAAAATTTCTCCGTTGTGTGCCGTGCTTTTTTTTCTTTGTCTCTTTATATTTTTCTTCTCAAATTTTACAGCTTGTTAGTAATTTGTTGGATAATTCTAAAGCTTCAGGCCAAAAAAACCTTGAAAATTTTCTCTGTTTCACAAATAATTTGAAAGACAAAATATTTCAGCCCTGGCAGGATTATCAGAGTGACCAGAGAGTGAAGGTAATACATTTTTTACAAATAACAGGATGGTAGAGTAGTACTGAGTCCACCCTACTTTGCAGGAGAATACAGGCCAGCAAATTCCAATGGTTTTATTAGATTCAAAAATTTGAACTCAAATAATTATTACAGAAAAGCTGAGAGGGAGAGTGTTCAGCTCAGGTAGATGCATTGGAATACTAGACTGAAGTCACACCGAGAGATTTATAACATTTCGGGTCTTTTTAGACTTCACCAGTAGATCACACTTGTAAGTGAGTCCAGCTCAGAGTCCCGCAAGATCCTTGACAGCATTGAAACACTGCCATGAACATGACACAAGACTTGGCACTAGAGTGCAATCCTCGTGCCATCTGCCATCGCTGATGAACAACTCTCAGGACGAAACAAGGAGAACCCAAAAAAATTAATAATCAAATTTTTACACATAAGAATACAAAATCTAATGAAAAGTTACAGATACCTCACAATGAAGACCTGTCGGCAGATTGTAGGCTATTCGTCTTTTCAACATGATTATTCGATCTTTCGTTTGGGCTAAATTCACACTGCCAACTTGTTTAAGACCTGAAAAGCAAACACATGTGGGTTAATTGTTTATCTGTTGAATTCGAAATTATGATAAAAAAAGATCAATTGACTATGACTCGTGGACTGAAATGATCTTAAGAACTCACCTATATCATGTCCCATTTCCTGAAGTTGTCGGTATAGTTTAATACTGTTGGAAATAATGTGTCTTTCATCAATTGGTTTGAATAGACCTAGGGTGCCGGATCCAAAATTTGAAGTTCCTCCACAGATACTAGAACATAATCAAACGATTTTTTTTGATTGGTAAAAAGAGATGTTATTGTTCAAAAAATGTTATAAGAGGTGCCGAAAAAAATTGCTCATGTCATGATCAAAACCACTCGTTGTGTGACATTGTGGGTACCCAAGAGTCACTGATACTGCCAGCAAAAATGGATTACTAGACCAATTTTCAAAATTTTGGGCCACATTCTGATCAAAATATTTTTTGGTTCTACTGAGGCCAATTCGCAAAACCGACATTATACTTAGATACATTTGATATCTTGGACTTGTTTAGACTTTACTGATGAAATTGAATTTAAGTTTAAAGATAAAAAGGAAGACAGCTACAGAAATTCAGTAGCACTGAGATTTCTTCGTCGATTACCTACTTTTACTTAGCAGTAGGCGTTTAAATTTTCAGTACGGGGGCAGAACGTTCCAAAATTGCAATTTGCTTTGATTTGGCCTTTTACCCACACCAATTATTTGAATTGTCTCACTCTGGAATGATTGTTTTCATTACTAAAAGCACTATCTTGAGTAAACTGAGTGATTTGCTAAACTTTTTTACAGAAGGTATTGAAAAAAAAAGGTCATCAATATTTAAAATTGCCTTGTAACCTAAGATCTGCTTCCTGTTTGTTCTAGGATCATCGGGCATTTTCAGCACCTCTTTTCTACACTACCTAATTCTAATACGATAAAGAGGCAGAGAATTAGGAAACTCACCTTCCTTGGTCGATGACCAAAACATCTGTCCATCCATGCTGCACAAGGTGATAAGCGACTGAGTTAGCAACGACGCCTGATCCGCAGATCACGACTTGAGCTTGAGTAGGTAAAACAGAGCTACTCTGACGCACATGATCAGAGGCCAGAGATCCAAATTTACTTGATAACGAAGATGTTGTTGGTAAACCTACTGTCGGAGGCTTGGAGCACCCTTCCTTCACGGATCTTGTGGCAAGACATAGTTGCTGCAAAATATGACGTTTCGGTCGACTTGGACATTTTGATATTGAATGTCCAATCATCAATCAGAAAAAACTAAACAGAGAGGGTGAAAAAGAAGGCAAGAATAAAATATTATAACACTTGGGCAAGAATATCGCATAAGATACTTATGTGCTACTTGTAAACAGACGATGACACGATGAAACTAGTGAAAAAACTACACAAGCATGCATGCCAATTTCACTTGCATAATTTGATTTGACTGAAAAATTTTAATTTCCTCCACAATAAAATAGTGAAATAATATAACTTTAGTGGAGGTCGTGTCAGGAGAGAACATGCATTGTTTACATACATTCGGCCGTTCTCCATCTCCATTGACGTATAATACAATCTAGACCGCGCATTGGGCCCGACTTTGGGCGGGGAAGGTAAGACAGCTAGGGGGGTAAAGACGCGCCTTCAGCCTAGTTGATACCGCCGGATATACGAGCTAAGTGTACCCGTATCAGGCAACGGCACTGGCAAGACTGGCATTTCCACGAATTCCACCATTGTCTCGCCGGTACACTTGCTGTGTGTTGCTGGGTTGCCTATCGTCTCGCTTGAATTTCGTAATGCGCGGTCTAGATTGTATTATACGTCAATGTCCATCTCCATCCGTCCTGCGCGAAAAGACAGTTCTGAAACTTCTGCGCAGGAGGTCACCGGTGACGATTCGTCTTCGATCAATCACCTTTGTTTTGAATGTGACGGTGGCATGCTTTTTTGATAAAAAAATTGGTCTTATCAGTTTCTTATCATGAAGTAGTTTAATTTTACCGCAATCGATCGTTTAATTTCTCTGTGCTGTATTTCATTGAAGTAGTTTTTTCAGTGCCTCAAACTATCACCCTCTTACCTCTCAGTGATCGGGTTGCTCAGCAACGTGTTTCCTGTTGATTTCTGTGCCTCCTCAGTTTTCCTCCCTTCTGAGCAACTTTCACTATGAAACGTCAATAAAACACGAAGTGTGCTTTTCTCAACGTAGCACCTGCACCAGCCTTTTTCTCCTGAATTTTTTCATATTAATATTTGTCATCTGCGTAGCTCCTCCTTTTTATCCCCGGACTGAAATGCTTCCACTTTCTAGGAGTGTTTTGCCGTTGTTGGAGAGAAAGTTCGCAGTAAGTTTTTTTATCATGTGCATTTACATTTTACTCTAGTTTGGACCTATTGTACACATGTTCTAATACTTAGTTGCCTTTTTTGTTGGTTGATTGATTGCAGCTGTCCTCCCCTTTTTTGACTTGCAGAATCACTCCGTACGAAAACAGCAAGCTACATAATATTACTTGCCTTGCTGAAGAGGGTGGCCCTAATTATGCGGAACAGCATATTGAAACAATGCTGGGTCTACACTATTCCAAGGAGGAATGAAAGAAGAAGAAAGCTCTAAAATTAAAATTTGAGTTTCAAGATGAAACTAAATCTATTAAATTAAATCTAATTTTAGAAATTTTTTTTTGGTACAGCTTAGTGAATCTGAACTTAACACTTTCGCACAGCGAACAAAACATTAAAAGGCAGCTGTTGCTACTCAATGATACCCAGAAATAAAGCGTACTTAGGGGTATATTGTTGCTGCTGAGCATCTCCCCGAGCAAAATAAAGGAAACCCATAATAAGAAGGCTAAGCTGCCTAAAGAAGCCTGCTTAATAGATATGTTACATATTTCTTTAAGACGACAACTTTTGGTATTGTTGGTGTCGATCTAATTCTTTACATTTTAGTTACCGGGCGGCTCTTTCTATCACAAATTTACCACTACCAAAGCCAAAGATAGAGAAGTCTTCTATGGTATGAAAGTATTGCTTCAGTGAGATTTTCTGCCTGTTCACAATGTACTTTCTGCTTATACAAGGTTTCGTGTTCTAGGAAATTACAAGTCTCAACGTTGCAAAAAGGAACTTATCATGGACTGGCCAAGAGTCTCTGAAAGAAGACGATCCAGAACTGTGGGCCTTAGTACAAGAAGAAAAACAGAGGCAATTAAAAGGACTAGAATTAATTGCATCGGAGGTATTACTTTGCATTTTTTCAATTTGAAGGAAATTAGATTTGAAATGGAAGAAATCTTGCCTTCTATTTTTTGCCTTATGGCAAACAGCATGTGGTATAAAAGTGTAAAAGTATGCCAAATTACAGGGGTGCAGAAACTTTTTGACCACGTGACTGACAGGTCACAACCACTCCAGTGCAAAAATGGGACGGCTTTGAAAACAGGGAAGCTGGAGAGTTACATCGTAAAAATGTCATGTTCTTTGCAATATTGAGTCAAAAATCATGTTTTCATTGCCAAATCGCAGAAATTTTTCCATTTAAAGCAACAAAAGGAAACCATCACTCTGAAATTTTTAAGGGAAAAGAGGATTTTATAATTGTAAGGACAAGAACTTCCTGCTTCCTCGAGCGAACAGCCCATTTTGCACTCATTTTACAAAGGGGCTGAAACAGTGTTATTAAATTTGGCTGATAATCAATGCTGAAGTATAACTTATATTTGCATCATATTTTATCGAGCCTTATTGTTAATCTTACAATGATGAAAGGAAATTCAAAGCATTGCTTTCAAAATCCTTGGAAAGAATGCTATCCTAAATTTTTTTAAGATTCAAAAAGTGCTGTCAAAATGGAACCATAGTATCTGCCTCGGTTGATGAACAGGTTGAGTTGTGGAAATTCTGGCAGAATTGTTGGATCAAGAAGATTATTTCCGAAGTTACCTTGTTCCCACTTTAATGTTTATGAGAATGAGGCCCTAGAGGTACCGGAGAAGGTGTAGAAAATTATTGCTCTGATAACTAATAGTCTAAAAGAGACTCCAATATCACAAGATTTTTAACAGTCTATGTACCTAGGTACTTAATTATTAAACTCTTTTTCTTAATATTAAAGTAGAAGACTTGTTTGAAAATTTTTAATTAAATGAGCATCCACCAGTCAAATTGCCAAAATTTTATTTTAGTTATAAAATGAAAACTCATGTTAAATATGTAAAAAATGAGACTTAGATGAAAAAAACATTTACTTTTAAAATTTGAAATGTAGAGTCTACTTCAATGTCTTCATGAATCAGTATTGTATCTTAAGTAAAAGTGTACATTGTTATCATTGCTGATTAAGCATGTTTCTTTTCCTTATTTCAGAATTTTTGTAGTCGCTCTGCCCTAGAAGCTGTGGGATCTTGTTTAAATAATAAGTATTCTGAAGGTTACCCGGGGCAAAGGTATGCATGAGTTTTCTTTAAATTCTTTTCAAATTACTTTATCTCTTTGATAACCTTATTAAGTTTATCTATTCACGGACCCCCAGCAGACTCAATTTTATCTGCTCATTCATTATATAAGAACAACGTACAACTTTATTCAAGCCGTTGGCTAATCTAATTGCATCTAATGTAGACCCATGCCTCCTTAACACTATCAGCATGATTATTTTATAGCAATATGGTTTGTATGATGTATTTGAATGTCATATTTTGGATTTCTGCATTTGAATTTATTGTGCAGATAAGTACACAGCAGTCAAAAAAGAGAGACATTTTTTGGAAAGTCATGGGTGAAAATAATTTTTACTATTTAATTGCAAGCTTATGATCTCATGAATTAATCATTTTCAGGTATTATGGTGGAACTGAGGTTGTTGATAAAATAGAGCTTTTGTGCCAGAAAAGAGCCTTAGAAGCATTCCGGGTATCCCCTGACAAATGGGGCGTGAATGTACAGCCATATTCTGGGTCACCTGCAAATTTTGCTGCGTACACTGCCTTACTAAAACCACATGATCGTCTTATGGGGTTGGATTTGCCGCATGGTGGACAGTAAGTATTCCAATCTTTTTCACAGCCCATGGCCTTTTCGCTCAATGACAGCTACAAATTTTAGCCTCAGGAACTGAAAATCGATAATTCATCAAAACAAATTTTGCAACCTTAAATTGATTGATTAAATTGAAAGCTGCTTTTTGGTTTCTGGAGGGTCTGGAAAACCTAGAAAGTCAGGAAATATTTAGGAATAGCCAGGAAATTTTGCAAGCAGCATTTAATGGAGGTCAGCTCACCGTTACTTTTGTTGTAAGTACCTCCAATCTGCCAGTTTTCTTTGAAAATATTAGTAAAGAGCTTTTGAGAAAAAGGTACTTTTGGACTGAGTTTAGTACAAAGGAATGGAGTATCTGCTTTGCTGTTAAGACAGAATCAGCTTAAAATGGCACTAAAGCCGCAAAAATAAAAACATTCAATAAAAAACGTGGGACATTTTGCAGTGTTACACCTGCACCTGCATTCTCAAAGGGTAAGAAAAAAGAAAGAAAAATTAAAAAGAAACACACCATGAAGCTCACCGTTGTTATTGTAAGACAAAGGTGTTATTGTAAGTCTCACAATAACAGCAGTGTGGCTCATAGTGTGTTTCTTTTTAATTTTCTTTCTTTTTTCATGCTGGTTGAAAAACGTGGGTGTAACACCGTGAAACGTCCTGCTTCTTTTAATTTATGTTTTTACTTTTGCGGCTTTAGTCCCATTTTGAGTTGATTTTGTATCATCATTTCGGGCCAATTAAGTTGTTTTTTATAACTTTTGCTGCTGAGATTGTACAACTTCATGTATCGTTTATCCAAGCTTGAAAGACCAGTTTTTATTTTTACTTTAAAAAATCACCAATTCAAACAGAAATTTATTCTGAAATTCTCATCCTGTTAAGTACATACTCAGTGTATCATACTATCTCAGCAACATTGCAATGTCAATGATTTTTATCCATCTATGCGCAGTAGCGGTCAGTGTGCTGTTTAATCACCAATCAAAAGGACATTGACACCCGAACAATCATGAAATACTCCAAAGCTTGAATGGTGTATCATACAATTAGAAATTTTATCAAATCACTCCAATGCAAACATACAAGGTAACTCTTTTCGTTTCAGTTTAACTCATGGATTTATGTCTGATACAAAACGGGTTTCTGCCACATCAATTTACTTTGAGTCAATGCCTTATCGTCTCAATCCTGCAACCGGTGAAATAGATTACGATAAACTCCATCAAACTGCAGTCCTGTTTCGACCAAAGCTAATCATCGCTGGTGCTACTGCATACTCTAGATTACTGGATTATGCTAAATTCAGAGAGGTAAGCCTTTTTACCCCTCAAGTGTATAGTTCTTTGCAATAGATGATAATGTGAGATTCTGGCATGTGACTTGAGATAAGTCCACTTGAAACCAGCCTCTCTCTCAAATTTATCACAACTTGAGAGTGATTCTCTTTGACAAGTGCAAAAGCGCTGTATTGTGCTATAAATTTTATCTTCAAGTGCTGAGCTCTGATTAACACTGCTGCCTAGGGAAAAACGACGTATGAACATTAGGATGTTTTCTCTTCTTTCCACCGATAAAATATATATTTCAAAGGCAAGTTATGAAAATTTTTCCATGACATTTTCAGGTGATTCAGATTAAATGGCAGATAAAATTCTTTGAAAAACTGCAGAAAAATATTCACAAGTCTTTTTTCAAATCAGAATTTTATTTAAAGGAAATTAGGCAATGTCTGAAGGTACATTTGACATTCATCCTTAGCATGGACGAATAATTAAGAAGCTGTATTAGAATACAAAAGCAAAGATGTGGGCGTGAATTTAATCAGTCACCCATGTGATATCTTTGTTTGTTTATTGTTTTACTTAAGTCACTTGTTATTTGCAGAACATGTACCATGCTTACTTATGTAACTCTGTAGTAAAAAAACAATTTTTTCAATAGACTTCTATAGGTAATATGGACATGTTTCTTCAACATTTCCCCCCTATTTTTTCCACAGATCTGTAATGACGTCAAAGCAGTGTTGATGGCTGATGTAGCGCACATTTCTGGACTCATAGCCGCTCAAGTGATTCCTACTCCATTTGATTATGCTGATATAGTCACAACGACAACACACAAAACTCTGAGAGGCCCTAGGTGTGATTTTATTCCCTTTTTAAATAAATTTTTTACAAACTATAGGTATCTTTTCCTCAACAGAGCTCTCTGTAAGCTATAAAGCCTTGATCAAAATAATTAATGAACCTCTGAAAAATGTTGGTTCATTCAATCACTTCCTGTAACTATTCATTGTGTGATACCATCTTATTAGAGTTTGACAAGCCACTCTTATATTGAAATCGATTTATAAGGCAGAGGATCAACAAGAATGATATTTCATGACATTTGTGAGGTTTAACAGAACCTTAATGCATCACTTAGAAGACTCCTTGAGAAATGCATACATCTAAACTAGAGAAGATTGTTTTGTTTACTTGCATGCTTTTAGTCATGGGCGGATGGGTTTTGCTGATCCAATCTTCGACATCCCTATCGTGAACATTCAACTAAAAATGTACAAATGGACACAGAATTTTTGTTAATAAAATCTTTTTTATACTTTTATCATTGGATACATGCTTCAACTGCTCATGAATTTTGTTAAAGTTGCAAGGAAAATTCATTGTTACTTGAAAAAAGAGTGACACGATAAATTGAATTGAATTAAATTCAGGCAATCATTTATGGTTTCTGTCAGTATTTGAAATTAGGCTGAAGGCTCAAAAGCCATTTTGAGATGCAGCTTTTATTACTAAGAGCCAATTTCAACAATTTTTTTTTCAATTTTTACTTTATTCAATGCCCAGTCATTGGTCTCATCAGTTTTAAACTTCTCCTGACAAGTATCGCACGGTAAGTTTTTAAGGCATCAAAAGAGGAAAAAATCTGTGTTTGCTTGAATGACACTTCTTTAACACTAACGTTGACCGGACTGTGTCTTACTTTTGTAGAGTCGCTTTTGATGTAACAGTATTGCGATTTTGAGACTCAGGTTATAGATTACATTCTATTATTTATTTCAACTCAATTTGTTGAAATCAGAAATACTAATTATCGTTTACATCTATTCTTTTTAGGTCAGGTATTATTTTCTACCGAAAAGGGGTTAAAGGAAAGAACAAAAAAACAGGGGAGGATATCTACTACGATTTTGAAGAAAAAATCAATGCAGCAGTATTCCCTTCGCTTCAAGGTGGTCCTCACAATCATGCCATTGGTGGTGTGGCCAATGCCTTGAAACAGGTCAGGCAGGTTTTTTTTTGTACATCTTTTCAATCAAGAGTCCATTGATCAGTGGGTTTAATAAATTGTGCTTAAAAAGCTTCCAGTTCTAGCTAGAACTGGAAGCCTCTGCGAGTTTTACACTTTCTTTAAAATTGTGTGATTTGGTCATTGTGGATTTACATGAGAGCGCTTGCAGATGTGCGTTTAAGGGTGGACATTCATTTTTTTTGTCAGATTTTTCATTTTTGCAATACAGTAGCACAAATAATGGATATCATCATTATAGATAGCTGTAAAAATCCATGAATAGAATATGATGAAAATGAGTGAACCTTCAGGGATTTACAATTGTTGCATCATATTTTGCCTAGAGCATGGGATAATACAAAGAATTATACACAGAGTACCAATAAATTTGGTGTCTCTTAATTCCTAGAGTTCGATTTTTTTTTAAATGTTGTTCCTCACTGCCACCTAATCATGATGAACTACTTATTAAAATTAAACTTTTTGTGTGTCAATCTCAAGAAAAGCAGGGCTGAAAAGGGAATGTTTTAGTATTTCATTTAAAAAATGCTGAATTTGAATTGTTTACATCTAGTTCATTTCCTCATGCTTTGACTTGCAGGCTATGTCAAAATCATTCCAAGAATATCAACAGCAAGTCTTAAAGAATTCCAAAGCCATGGCTCAGGCGCTCATAGAACGTGGTTATCATCTAATGTCAGGAGGAACTGACAACCATCAAGTCTTAGCTAACATAATGAAAAGCAGAGGTGTTGACGGGGCCAGAGTGGAAGAAATCTGCAACAGGGTCCACATAACAGTTAACAAGAATGCCTGTTTAGGTGATAAGTCAGCACTGATACCCAGTGGCTTAAGATTAGGTAAGAAACACTCCTCCTCTATTTACCAGCGGGCATGGTCAGACACCTCCCGTTAGAATGTATGCTCTATCATCAAATTTTTTGGAGAATTGAATGAACGAATTCAAAATTTCCCTTTTCAACTCATAAGAAAGTGATAGTAGTTTTTGGATTTCTAAATACAAATTTTGTGCTCTCTACAAAACTGAAGCTTCTTGAATCAATTTGGGCACTGAACTTATTTTAACAGGTCTTATGATGAGTTTTTGAGTCTTCCTAGTGTACTAAATTAAAGAGGGTTTTTGGAAGAAGGACTCTTAAAACATGGGCTAATTCGTTTCTCTAATCTGTGTTACCCTGACAAACAGGTAGCAATGATCATACCTACCTGCCATTTGTCCAGATATCTGCCAGAGAAATGAGCACACCAAGACTATTATGGGCCCTCCTTTCAAAACCTTCTTCAATTCTTCTTTTTCATTTTATGTATTTACACATTAGTAGTAGGTACTAGTTTATAAAGTAATTTTTACATTAGAAGTAAAAAACCTATTTTGTATGAGAAAATTATTTAAATATAAATAGATAAAAAGCATTGTTCTTTACACATTTAAGCTATTTTGAATGAGAAGAGTGGGTAATTTTTAAACTTGATTTCAAGTTTTAAAGGAAAAATATACTCGCTCTATGAAATTGTAACAGCTCGAGTTGTTCAAAACTATTATGAGCTATTTTTTCCCGCCAATATAAATTTTTGAAAAAGTCTCAGGCGGGGTTTCTTATAGTTCTTTAAGTTTTTTTTTTTTTTAAAAATAGGTATCTCATTTTTAGTGTTTGAATTTCTTCTTCTCTCATAAGAACAAGATTCAACAGGCTAAGACCAGCAGCCTGATTGTTGAAATTTATCAAGAATCGAAAATCGATATATTACACGGCGCATAAAGGGTTTTGCCTAGTCTTATCTTGCCAACATAGCCAGTTAAAGTTTCATGAATCAGGCTGCAGCCTTTGAGCATGGCTTTTTCTTGTGTCTTTTTACTCATGTCAGATGGTTCAACATACTTTGTTTTAAAATCAACTAAAACATTTTGTTCATTTTTTTTCTTTTTCAATTCCAGGAGCTGCAGCTTTGACCTCCAGGCATTTCAAAGAATCAAATTTTGTTGATGTCGTAGCGTTCCTTGATCGAGCTATAAGTATAGCTGCTGATGCTAAAGGCAAATCTGGTAATGATTAAAAATTATTGTTAATTGAGGTTTTGCCAGATAAGATTTTGGTCAAATGCTCATGCAGTACAACCTATTTTGGCGATCATTTTTATCAAAAAAATAAGAATAAATCAGTTATTAGAGCCTCAAGCCTTCCATGCAGTTAGAAAGCTTTAAACTATTACAGCAACTGATCAGGAAGCAATCTCTAAGAATCTCTGGTCTTGACTAAAGGTGAAAAATGAAAGAATGGAAGTCTAGACAGGATTCGAAATCAAGAACAATGATACCTGTTTCCTTATGGCAATTTTTTAGCCCATAGTCGTCAGCCAAAGGCGTCAGAATCATGAATCTATCCCTGGATCTCTTATTCAATGTTTTTGTTACACATAAATCTTTTATCAGGAGTGCAAATTTTCCATCAAACTTTAGGAGTTAACCATTAACTTTCGCCCAAACTCTCCTATTTATGTCTAATTTCTTGTCTTTATTCTAGGTTCAAAATTAAAGGATTTCAAAGAATTCATTAAGAATGATAAAGACACACTAGAAAAAATGCAGCAGCTGAAAAAAGAAGTAGAGGAATACGCTGAAAACTTTCCAATGCCTGGATTCGAAGATCGCTAACTTATCGTCTAAAATTCATGGTACATTTTTTTTTTATTTTAAAAAAATTAGTCCTAAATATTGGACTATTTTTTAATGTAAAGTGAAACATGTCATAAAGATATTTTTATTTTTGAAAAATTCCTTCAAAATATCTATAGCTGATTTCGAAGAAAATTCTTCTGTTTTGATTGAAAATCCATAAGAACTTTTTTTTTACCGTAATCGAAGATTTTGAAGTATGCTGCATGCTTAGTTTATGATGAGATTTTGATATGTGACTGTAACACCGGTGATTTTTCTTTTGGACTTAACAATATTTGATTCTCACGTGTGACGTGAGTCCTCCTAATAGACATCACACACTGTATTACCAGGGACGTATACATCAACTTCATTCTACCTTTCGGTTTTATGATCAATAACAGAAGAATCCCAAATTTGGCTATGAAATAATTTGAAAAAATATCCATGCAACCGTATTATTTATTATTTTCTTATGAAAAAAGAAAAACTTAAAAGTAATTGTTTTCCATCTCTGTTGTTAAACATAAAGAGATTAATTTTCAAGTATAAAAACAGTACCAAAAAGTTTCTTAGAAACAAAACTAAATGAAGAAAGAGTGAACCAAAAATAATCATTGAAGAAATTACAATCTATTGTTGTAAATCTGTCTTTATACTGAAAAAATTACCAAAATTCCATTTTTAATAGAGTGTGAAATACAGTAAAAGAGGTGCCTCTTTTGCTGTCAACTGTCATGACTGAAAAATTCTTGAGATAGTATAAGGAAATTGTGCCATCAACCTAATTTAATATGAAATTTATTAATATGAATATATGGAGTTGAACTCCATTGGTATTTTTCCAGTGCTCTTAATTTAAGTTGTAAAACCTTTGTCAGCTTGTTAAGTTATTGAAAACTACAGTGAATTTACAGTATTTTTTAAAAGTCGAAAATTTTGTAACAATTTTTTAAAATTTGATTTAGAAATGAATAAGGATACTCAGATCGCTACTGTATCTTTAATTTTGAAAAATGATGTACCTATTGTCTTCATTCAAGAAATCAAAATTAAAATAAATACTCCGCTGGCTAGTTCTGACTTCTTTATCTCCTGGAAAATATTAATGCTGAACACAAATTCTTTAATTTGTAGGTGTGCTAAATTTTTGATCGTCTAATTACTTAATATTGTAATGTAATGTGTCTCTATTGGTATGGAAAGTAATCATGATTTGCCAGTGATTGCAGAAAATGATATTGATGGCAAAAGTGGAACACTACGTTTCTCCATTGCGATGTTTTAAAACTTTCACTCCTATTTTATTTTTTGTAAGAGAAAAAAATCCATTTTTTTTATAATGAAATCTAAACAGAATATTCTGCTAACAGAGAGAAAGAAGAAAAAAAAAGTAGTTCCCAAGAAATTACGCTGACTAGTTTTTCAAGGAAAACATAAGGTATGATAGAAAGTCTGCAACGTTGCGAAGGAAGATACATTGTCTTCCAATTTGGCCATCGATACAATGCATATGCCCTGATACTTTTGGCAAAAAACTTAAAATTTTTGTATTTTGTACTGAAGCTTGCGTCTCTTGATTGTTAGTGATTGAAGCTAAAGAGGAAGGGAGGTGGAAAAACTTTAAAATTTCTTCACAAGCGGATGTATGTGTTCGGAAGAGGAAGTGAAAAACGTTAGAGGATATCTAATTAAAACCCTTCAAATTTGATTACATGTACCTAATTTTTACCAATACTCCAGCTAACTCCGAATGTATTTACAGAAGAGAGAGTTTTAAACGTTGTTATACTTTCCTATTATTATCTTAGTAGTTCAAAAATGGGTGAAAATAATGGAATTCTCAGAAAAAAAATCATAGTTTTCATGCAAACAGGCAACTCTTGGCAACTGCAATTTTGATTCACTTACTCTTCAGATACCACCGATTATATTTACTCATAAATATTTTTTATGCTTACCTCGTTATATTACTCCTTCTTTATAGGTACTCCCTCATAAAAGTTTAAAAATGAGAATAAATGATTTATCTGTCCGAAAAAAAATCATGGCACATGGCTCGTGATCAAAACATGTTTGGTTGGTAGATACGTTATTTGGTGCTTTTAACAATTGAGCCATTAACACCTTAGAGGAGAGATCAAAATATAGTACAGAATTTAAACATTTAAAAAGTAGGGGTCACAAAAGGTATTACCTACGAAATCAAAAGATAGGACAAGGAAAGAATACATTAAATTTGGAGATTAATTCGTTTGAAAAAGAGAGGGATTTCACGAAAATACTTTGAAAGGATGGTATGGAGATCAGAGTGGAGGGAAAATTTTGGATCTCCTCTGATTAAAATATATCCAAATATATCCTCCAATCGACATGATATGTTCTCTTTAGGTAACGCTGATGTCTCCTGATGGACACATAACTCTTGATCGTCTGGAGTCTCCCGATGAACACATGTTTCAGATCGACACATCGATAGCCGAAGTGCGAAACCACGTATCTCCTTTGCGATGACGTTGCAGACTTCCTGTCATACTTTATTTTTTCATCGAAAAACGAGTCAACTTAACGTCTTGAAAACTTCCTTGATTTTTCTTCTCTATCAGCAGAATCTTCCGTAGAAACAGCCCATACAGTTGATAAGTTTCTCTCCGAAAAAAAAATTGGAGCAGAGATTTTGAAACTCAGCAATGGAGACACGTGGTTTCGCACTTAGGCCATCGATGAATTTGGCTGGAAATCAGGCTGTCAAAAGCGCAATAACCGGAAATAGGACTGTCGGATACATCGCTATTCCCAGTCGATCATTTTTCGGAAAATCCTGACTTGTGAGTTTTATTTTTCGCATTTTCGTCTTTCGGTGCTGCACTGTGCGGCACATCACTCGCATCTATAAAGTCTTTAATTAAAAAATAAGGATAAAAAAAATTTTTATCATAAGATCCGACTAACCCTGTAGGAGTATTACATCCACATGCATGAAGAAAAACTCTGTGTTCAAATTATGCCAACCGCCTTGATGCAACTATTCGTGTCCGATGGATGGTTGGTTGTATAAACGGAGTTATAAGCGTTTGAATTTTCCAAATTTTGTCCGACCTCTCTTATTGACTCGATCCACTGTGCGGCGCATGGCGATGCCGTAAATGCTTTCTGCTGGTAATTCAAACGTGTTCAGAAATACTACCTGTCAATTGCAAACATCATTTTTGAATAAGAAGAAAAAAATAGGTTGTACGATTTGAAGACAAGTCAGTTCCCCTGTATCAGATAAGTTTATCAGTTTCATCAGTCTTGCACCAACTGCGGTGATGATGTCTCCATAAATAGCTGGAAAATAATTTTGGTTCAATTCAATAGAAAATTTAAATGTAAAATTTTAAAAAAATCCCCTGCAAGAAAATTTAACGGAAAAGTAAGTTCTTTTGTTTTCAGCACAACCGATTCAGATAAGATGCAGATCCGGTATTTTTACGAGATCGCAACTTTGCTGAAATCAAAACCATCCCCTCCGAGCACCCCTCCCCCCCCTCCTTGAAACTCGGATAACCCAAAAGTCACTACTTCTGAATTTTAAAACCTCTTGAGCAACTAAAGCTCTTAATTTAATGTATATTCTTGGACTCGGGCGTAATTTAGCTACTGATAGTCTTATCAAATTAACTATATCGACGGTGAAACTACCAAACCACGTATCTCGTTTGCGGTGTTTAAAAATCTACGCTCGCATTTTATTTTTTTGAAGTCGACCAAATCAATATCATTCCTTGAAATTTTCACAGAATTTTCTCCGCACAAAGAGGAAAGATCACAGAAATTTTCAAGACTAGATGTTAAGTAGTTTTTCATTTAAAAAATAATGTATGACAGGAAGTCTGCGACGTCGCAAACCGAGATACGTGGTTTGGTAGTTTCACCGTCGATATGTAACTATTTCTTTAATGACAATTTTGCGTTCAAGTCTGTGTTTATACTTTTTCTATTGGAAACGACTCGGAAGGCTCGAAAGCCTTTCAGTCATTTGCATTTGTATCGTGCGCGTGTTTGTGACTTGCAAGTTGACAACAGTGTTTTTCTCTTTTTAAATATATATAAACTATCGATTTTAGGTCAGGCAAACTGCCTCAGAAAGTATCGATTGTTTTACCTACATACCTACATTTATAAATGGGCGAGAAGAAGCGTTGCCAACTTTCAAGAATCGCCGCTGGTTTGGTTGCTATCGCGACCCGCTTTAATTTGAGAGCATAAAGCTATCTCATTATTGAAATTCCATGCTTGGAAAAGTTATCGGAGCAAACCCGCCCTCACAATCGGGACAGGCAGGTAGGTAGTTAAAATGAAATCTCCGAGGATTATCGAAACATCAACTTTATACGATGGCAAAAGTAATTTTTAGGGCTCTTCAAAAATGCCCCGTCTGATTAAATTCCTGTAATTTCGTGCGTATATTAAATCGCACGGTTATTAATATTTTTTGATGAATTTGCATGACGCGCGGTGTGGAAATATTCTTTTGTGTGGAGCCGATCAAATATCAATGGACCAGCGTCACCGCGCTACCAAACTGTCTTGTTCCCGGAGAAGACAGGCTCTCATTGTTGTCAGCGTTTAGTCGCTGAATCGCTGAATCATGTTCGTACCTACGCATGAAAAAAGGGTCGCATCGATTTTCTAGCGACATTAATTAAATGTAACACAAACACTTTCAGTCATATCATATCGTGACCAATGTCGGTAAAATATCACACTATCGGGCTGATTATTGAAACTGATAGACAAAGCTATAGGCAAAGAAGACATGGGGAGGGGGGAGTATGTTCGTTTTCGTCAGAGGGTACCTAAGTACTTACCTCTGAATAAGTGTGAACCATCGACAATAGGCATAGAAATTCCCACTATGTACTTATGACATGGGCTAATTGAAAAATCAAGCTAGCTGCGAAAATATGCATGTCATCCTCAGTGTAGGAACGAGCTCTCCTATTTGTTTGAATGATTGATTTTAATTTTAGCGAAGATGCCGTAAAGAGGCATTTTCGAGAGTGCCTACGCATTTTTAAAAATGCCTAATCATTTTGCAAGAAGCCTAGTCTGATATCCCAAAATGATATTCAGTTAAAATCTATATGCCTATAGACATTCTGCAAAATTCCTCGTGTGAAGAAGTCGTGTGCCGTGCCGGCCGCGGTCTCGCGGACACTGAAAAATCTCGAGCTCCTTCAATTCTATCTGTAGGCAACATGGACATCCATTGAACACGAATAGTTGCATCAATGCGTTTGCCATGATGATCTACTTACTTGCGGTGTCAACCGCGACCGGTGCACAGTGAGTCTCGTAATTTAGAGAGGTTGGACATGAAATTTTTTACTCAAACTGCAAATTTCGATGTTTAATTCGTCACAATTTAAATATTAAGAGGTCTTTCATGCAGAAAATTTCACGAGGAATCCAACGGAACCCCTTTCAGAACCTTAAAGTTTTATATGAACGACTTATGAGCTTTTAAAGTTTCCAAATTTTGTCCGACCTCTCCCATTGACTCGATCCACTGTGCGGTGCTGCGCGGTTACCGCCTTCTTCGATGTTCTCCGATGCTCGGTGAATTTCGAAGAGCCTCTGTTTTTTTACTACTTTGAAGATTAGAAAGAGGTTTTTTCTTCAGTCTACTCCTCCCTTTGCGTCGACCAAGGCAGATTCTGCCCATTTCCTACAGATGTTGAAGAGTTCTCCCCTGAAAATATCCCAGTTTTTTATTTCTCTTTGAAGTAAAATGAGAGTTAATTGATCAATGCTACCGGTGATATAACTGATATTCCTATATTAAGCTATTTCCGAACGAATATGCAACAAAAACTCGAACCAAAGGACGGAATTAGCCTAATTACCATTGGCGGATCCAGAAAATTGGCAACATTGTCTTTTTTCCATTTAAACCTATGGAAATGTATCGATTCTTGGAGGGTCCAGGTGCTCCGCCAAGAATCAATTATTTAGCATGTGTTCAAACGGAAGAAATCCAATGTTGCCAAATTGCTGGATCCGCCTCTGCTAATTACATCAGACGTTGCCT